CCTCTTCCTCCCTCCTTTTCAACTCCGCCTCCTCCTCTCCCTTTTCCCTTCATGCCCTGTCCCACCACAACTGCCAGAGCCAGTCTCCATGGTGACTCATAGACAGCTATGCTGAGGTAAAAACAAAAGACGGAAAAGCCCACAGGATTTTGCATCCAAGCAGAGAAAGAAGAAATTGAATGAGTGGGAGAATGGGATAAGGGGGAGTGAAAATAAGTGGTTTTCTCTAATCTCCAAAGGCCCTTTTGCCCACTTTTAATCTTTTGTGGGGTCGTCATTTCTCTCGCCTTGCTTCCATCTAAATCCAACCCACTGCACAGTTCAGGCTTACGTGCAGACAAAAACACAGAGAAACAAAAACAAATGCACAACAAAACAGAAACAAGTCACAAAAAAACAAATAATAGAATGTGTGAGGCCCCTTTAGTCTAGTTATTTTCCTAAATAACTCCTAACACCAATCCCAGTCCTTTATCTTCCCCTTATACAACTGCAAAGTTCTTAACTAAAAGCTCCGAAACACAGGCCCCCCACACAGAGACACAAACACCAAGCAACAGAAACAAGAGAAAGAGAAACCAAAAGACAAAGAAAAAAAAGGTGGTGGTGAAGGTTTTTAGGTGACAAAACAAAAACACTTTCTAAAGATTTTTAACAGTGTAAGTGACACTCACTTGATCCTGGCATCCCAGCAGTGGCAGCCTGGGGCTGGTAGGTTCCCTCAGTGATGGCTGGCATGGGTGTGGTAGTCTGGGCGAACTGGGCCTGGGCCTAAAAAGCAATCAAACACACAGTGATTTTTAAATACTGAATTAGAGATAACTGGGCTCAAACCAATACATAAGTATTTTACTGCTGGTAAGGAGACTGACTGAAGGATTTCTTTACCTACAACAAATATCAATGGCTTTGGAGCGCAAAAAATTTCCATTACTGTAAGTAGTTAATTTCCTGATTTCTTACAATGTTCAAACTTAATCTGGTATTACTGGGCTATACAGCTCAGCTTGACCTCTGCTATTCCTGCTAACTTAAAAAAGTTAAAAAGAATTATTAATTTTAAGGCTTATACCATTTTCAACAACCTTAACAGAAATTTTGACCAAGGGTTCTTAAACTTTTACACTGCCCTGAACATCTTCCGTGGCAGGCAGGTTTGATGCTGATATCACAAAGTTATTTAGCACTCGGTGATTGCGATGCCATGTGAATGTTATATGTTTATTATTATGTTTTCTGGTCTCTCTGATTCAAGTACCGAGTTAAATTAAAGTCAGAGGCACAAAGGCAAGGCAAGGCAAGGCAAATTTATTTGTATAGCACAATTCAACAACAAGGTGATAGGTTAAAGGTTGGTGAATATCCAAACCTCCTGAGGAGGGACAAGTTTTACAAACCATTTTATTAAATTACCTCCAAAAAGGTCCCATTCACTGCTTTAGAAGCTATGGTGACTAAAGTGAGTTTCCAAAGAGGCTCTACAACATCAGTAAGACTTCTCATTTTGAAAATGAAAACCACATTGGGAACATATTTGTATATTTTACATGACATGTTACTTACAAAGCCAGCACCACATTTAATATAGATTCACTTCAAAACCCTTACCTTAATGACCTTGTCGACCTTAAGGTCCTCGAGTGATGGGTACAGAGACATGCTGTGGAGATAACACAAACAACTGTGAGTGGAACTAACAAGATAACAACCCAACCAGATAAGCATCACCAGCTCCAGACGAAAACTGTCTTCCTGTCATCCATTACTCTAATGTAATTTCGATGCTAGTGTTTGAAACGAAGAGTAATAACACAGATTAAGAGTGAATGATGCACACAGTCAAACACTCAGAAAGCCAAAGTAAGAAACTCTGCTCTTGTGCACTTCACCACTGAGTAAAACTGTATTTCTGGCAACTTTCCGGGGCAACATGGCATGTGTGTGTGCATGGGCAATAGGAGCAAAATCCATGCTTTCTAAAATGCTTTCTAAAATAATGAACTAAAACAACACTATAGATAGTTAGAAGCACATAAAATAGTAAATAATTGCACAATAACCAGTAAGTGTCATATCATACCGTTCACGGTAATACCG